GCGGCGCGGCGGCCCCGCGCGCTCCCCGCCGCCCGGCGCGCAGCATGGAGGCTGCGAAGCGCAGCTCGTCCGCCGGCAGCCGGGACGATGGCAGCGCGAACGCCTTCCCCGCCAAAGCGGCGGCGCCGGCGGAGAAGGCGCAGGGCAGCCCCGGCGGCGTGAAGGAGCACGGCAACTCGGTGTGCTTCAAAGTGGACGGCGGCGGCGGTGAGGAGCCCGCCGTGGGCTTCGAGGATGCCGAGGGTCCGCGGCGGCAGTACGGCTTCATGCAGCGGCAGTTCACCTCCATGCTGCAGCCCGGCGTCAACAAATTCTCCCTCCGCATGTTCGGCAGCCAGAAGGCGGTGGAGAAGGAGCAGGAAAGGGTTAAAACTGCGGGGTTCTGGATCATACACCCCTACAGCGACTTCAGGTGAGCGCGGGCACCCCCGCCCGCACCGGCGCAAACTTGGGCGCGAGACGGCGCTGCCCGCGCCCCTCGTGCGCGACCTCGGGGCGGCTGCACCCTCTCCCTCCCCCCCTGCCCCGCCACCCCCGGGGCGAACGTGTCCCCGCGGTCCCCGCGCCGGCTTGGGGCCCCGCTCCAGGCGCGCGCCGCGGCCCGGCGCTCTCCAACGTGCTGCTCGCGGCCGCCCTCCCCGTCCAGCGCCGTCCCGTGCCGTCCCGCGGAGCGGTGTCGCGTGGCGGCGGCGCGGGCTCTCCGGGGCGCCCCGGGGAGCGCCCTCCCCACCGTGCTCGGTACAAACTGCTCCGCGCTGGAGGGGACCGTGAAGCGGCGCCTTGGCACCCCAGTGCCGCGCCGCGGCCGCGTGTTGCTCGCGGGGCAGGTCGCGCGCGTGCGGAATGGGGGCAGCGCGAAAAGCAGCGCGGGCGAATTCCCAAGCAGAGGGATCGCCACTTAAAAATAAATACACATATATACCTATCTTAAATGGAGGGTTGTTTCACTTCACTGTGCGTGTGAACTTAGTRTATTGAACACGCGGTGACGTTTGGTGGAGAAGTAACAATGTCGTTAAGTGTATTTGATGAGCGGACTCAATTGACCGGTCTGCACGTACGTAATAACCAGAGAACCAGGCTAGGGACTGGTTTTGAAAAGGAAATCCAGAACGCTCAGCAGCTACATGGATCTTTKAAGCAAAAATAAAAAAGTAGGTTACAGAGAACATGTTCCAAAAGGAAGGAAATACTTTAGCAGTGTGAGTTTCTTTGGGAGTGCTCCGAGGCAGTGAGTTGTGGTGGCACCTCGCAGCGCTCGCGCTGTGCGGCCGGTAGCAGTGAGCAGGGCAAGCAGTCRGCTATGACTCCAAGTCATGTTCCCAGCCCCTGCTCCTGCCTGGCTCCCTGGCGGCAGCGAAGGCACCAGTGCCCTTCCCGAGGGACCCTTCCACCTGCTTCGCGAGCAGGAGAACAAGGGCGAGAGCCCGAGTCCTCCACCCGCTTCCCGCCGGCCCGGGAGCCTCTGTCTCCCTGGCGTGGGCGCCACAAACTTCGCTCGTGTGGGATGTCGTTAAAGGGAGCAAGGTTGTTCTGGGAGCAAAACTGCTCCTTTCGTGTGGGCATGGACGCAGCAGCGCAGGACTGCGCGCGATAGGAGGTTATGAAGCACATTTTGAGCCCTGTAGCTCTTAAAGCTGATATGTGAAATCAGTGATAAGTACATTGATTCTGTTTTATTGCACTGATACCTTCTAATTCCATCCTAATTCCTCCTATGGGGAGGTTTACAGATCCACAGCTTATTTGTATTTATTTATTATTTTCAATAGGAGTAAACAACGCTTTGCCAGTCTGTGGTCTGCCTATTCCTAAATTAATTGTGTTTTTTTTTTTTTGATTGTCTTAATGTGTTTTTCTTTCTGATAGTTGATGATGCTCTCTGTCATTGGTCTTGGGTCAATTCCCATGCCTGATCCAGGGATATTTTTTTGCCAGTAGGACTGTTTTAGTGAGAAATCTAAGATGTTTGTGTTTCTCCTGAAATGACTTTAATTGTGAAAAAAGAAACTGCCCTGTTGGGATGGCAGTATTTATAGGAAAGAATAAAGAAGTTGTAATGTATAGTATATTCAACCCCTCGTGTACCAGAATGAATGCAAATTTAAGGGTGGAGTTGTTCTCATTTATTCTAGCGTGTGATCATGCAGYGCTGCAATGTTTGTACGTAGACAAGTTGCAGAGATTCCAGAGACGTATTCTAGTTTTGCCGGTATTTTAGTAACACCAAGAGAAAGAACTAAATTTGTTATCAAAACAACAACACAAAGGTTAAAAGCTGCRTATTTTACACTATACAAATGGGAGCAATCAGGGTAAGCTTGTAAATGTAGCTATTATTAGAATATTTGTGGCACATAGGAAAATTGACATCATCATAAATTTTGAGTATATGCACACTTAAGAAAATGCTGGGTTAACTGTATCAGATATGGGAAAATTCTTATGCAGGTTTTTGTAGATTTTAATGTATTTTCCTTTTTTTTTTTTTTTCTGGAAAACTTATGTACTGAGTATGTAGAACACTTGGAAGCATTTGATTACATTAATTGACCACATTCACTTAGGATGATTTGTAAGAAATTTTGTATGTTTATCTGCACACCAAAAAACAGTTTGAGGAAAGGGTGTCCTGCTTCCTTCACCCTGCCCTCCTTTTTGGTATGAAGATAAGTGTGGAAGAAATGTGTGCATAAAGTCAGTGCTCCATGAATTGGTGGCTAACATCCTTTCTGCTTTTCGTATCTAGTTTTATGGTTCTTTTTTCTGTTTGTGTTTCAGAGAAGTATTTGCTCTTTGTCATATATATATATATATATATATCCTTGGAGAAATAAATTCCATTAGTATTACATAATTTTTCCATAAGGGGACCGTTTCGTTCCTGGTTGTTCTTTACCGGTCTTCTGAGGTTAATTTCCAGTTTGAAAACCGTTATGTAAACCAAGCACCTAATGTACATGGAAAACAATAAAAGAGCTCTGTTTATGTCTCTCAGCTGTGGTTACTGAGTCTGTAAACTCGRGTGAGAATTCCTTGTAACTGTGTGACTCACAAAAGTGAGTTTGTCCTAAGTGTTTTGGTTAGAGTTTATTGAAGTCCCGCATGCTTTTGTGGGGGACACCAAGTGCCTCCAGCTGGATCCAGTCACACAACAGCYGCACAAGGACGCGCTACGGAACTGAGCCCTGGGTCTCACAGGCACCACACGAAAGCAGCGCGAAGCCGACGGAGAGCCGAGGTGCTGCAAATCCTCCCCTYGCTTCCGTACACTTTTCAGTCACTTAACAGCAGAGTGGTGGGGGGCCCAGGGTTTTGCACCTATAGATTCCGACTTTCTAAGTGTATGTGCCCAAGGCGAGCACCTGACTGTGCTTTCTTGGTGTCCATGGGCACATCAGTGGTTCCACGAACTTTCAGTGTGCCAGGGCTGGGAGGTGCCTGGTGGCATCTCCCCCCTTCCCTCTCCACGAGTGCAGAGATGAACTCACACTCTCATAGAAACCGTGTGTTTATACCACCGAAGTCAGGTTACCTGCAGCATGGGATCAAAAAAGAGAGCAAAGAGGTTTTATCAACAAAGTGACAAGAGAGAGATGCATTTAAAGAGAAAGAGCAACCTGAGAAAGAGGGATTTGGAATAAAATGTGTGTAAATACATCATACTCTGATGGTTACAAATCATCTTTAATTCGATGTTTGGGAATGGACTTTCTATGAAAACAGGGACAAAAAAAACCCTCTGTTTTTAAGATGAAGTGAAATAAGTCTGTGAAATGGGGTTGTCTGCCAGTGATAGATAAGAAGGTGCGATGCAGGTGGTGCCAGAAGTCTTCTTTCCTATACACAAAATTACAAGTATGAAGTGCTTTGTAACAATGACAGTAATTGTTGCTGTTTTATATTGAAAGCATCTCTCTGCGTAACTTCTTATCTACACATTTTTAGGATTATATAAACTGTTTTGGATACTCTACTTATTATACCTATAGTTGAAAGTTTAAGAAGCTTAGGGTAAGCACTGTGTCCTTCTCTTATCACGTCTGTAATGTCTCCGTTGAGCTAATGAGATTTATCTTTTTGTGAGCTGTTATGTACTTAGGTTCACACAGAGTAATAGAGTTGGAGGGTTATACTGTTTCTCATCAGAATAAAAATTATTGTATCATTCCCTTTATATAATTTATGTAGGTATATGTATAAAAAATCAAGTAGGTAAATCATGTTGGCTTATATTAAATTAATCAGTCACAAACTAATGTGGTTTTGTAGTGGATAAAATATGTCACTGGTAGTATAGGAGTCTGAAATATCCACAGCTTTGTATCCTAAAGGTAGTCACCTCAAAGACTCTTTACATATTTAGGACTTTTTTATAAGGTCCTCTCCCAGTATTCCTATTTCTGCATTATTTGTATAATGTGCTAATTATCAGGCATTTATTAACTATATTCTATAGATCCTTTGCATAAATAGATTGCTTTTTATGACCATGAAGCACATTTTAACTAGGACTGTCCTTTATATGTCTTTTAAAAACACTGGTGTCACAGCAATCACTTTTATTTACATAAAAAAAAAAAAAAAAGCTACAGTTTAACTCTTCATATTGCATGAATAGTCATGCTTTGCACATGAGTAAAAATAGTGAAATGTGCAGAATTAAAGAAAAAATATTAGCAGTTTTTGGACTTTTGTTTGCTACATTCCAACATTTTTTGCACTTTACTGCTGTAAATGCCCTGAAGCATAAAATGACAAATGTGTACCAGTAATCTATCTTAATTCATTTTTAATATCAGAAAATTCTTCGTGACAGTAAGTTCTATTACATTATAAAATAGTTCCCCAGGTAAAACACAATTCCCATAAAGCTAAACATTTAAAATAAGCTGAACCAAGTATGAGCAACAGCATGTTTATTGGAAATGCTTTGATGTGGAAGGTGAGCCAGAAAAGCATTAGGTTCTTTTTCATCTCCAGTTTCTGGAATTTTTAATACTGCATAATGCCTCATCACGGCCTGTCACTGACTGATTTGTTATGAAATCTGGTTGCCCGAGGCTCCCGACTGGCGGTTCTTTTTGTATCAGTTGTTAGCATGGATGTGTGAACGGGTGTTTAGGTGCATATCACGTGCTCTGGGGTCCACGAGGATGCTGTTTTCTTGGCCTTTCCTTCCAGAGTTGCCAAGGAAATCCTGCTGAGTCCACCCAGGGTCAGTGCAGGAGCCACTTGCCTCCAGGGGCAGTGGGAAGGATTACACCTTTATCTGTGTGAAGAAAGCAATTCATATTTACAAATACCCTTCCGTCTCTAGAGAATGCGGATTTGGAATGCATGGCTTGAGCTCACACATCTGCCTGACATTTCACAAATTTTATTGCATCCTCTATAGTCAGGGAATAACAA